GCAATGAATGATGTATTTAATTTAGAGGCATTGATCCAAAAATGTGTCTGTTATTATAAATAATCTTTATTTAAACAAAAGTGTTTTATCTTTTAAGAGACATAAAAATAATAAAAGGTACATCCAGACTAAATCCTCTAGACCCAAACAACTTCTAGTTGGCTGACAAGTCTTTTTCCTTCATCTGTCACTAGTTAGATGCCTTGTCAAACCACTCCGGCTTGCCTTGTTAAGCCATGCAAATTACGGGCTGCCTTCTGTACTTAATCTAGGAAATCAATGATGATTACATCTCTGGCCTTCACTTTTTGCTGAGTTTGCTCCCAACGGAAAATCCACTGTAAACCTCCGTCAAAGGGCACTATCTGAAGCTCGCTTGCTTGCTTCTTGAATCCATCCACAATAGCTTCTAACTCAGCTATGGTTTTGCCATCTCGCTCTTGTTGTTTCTGAAGATATTTATCCAGATCAACTATTTGGATTCTTAAGCGCTTGTTCTGATGTTGGCTATCTATTAAGCGCCTCTTAGTAGTCTTAAACTATTCTTTCAGAGTCTCTCTTTTATCAGGACCCTTAAACTTCTTTTTCAGGCTGTGAGCTTCACCTTTCCAGTATTTAAAAGTCTTTTTTAGATTGGAGTTATTCTAGACTTGCTCTTGGTACCCCTTTCTCAAGTCTTCAAACTCAAAACGAACATTCTTATGTTCTTTCTCTAGTTTGTCTGGCCGATCCTTCTGAGTATCGGCGTCTAACTTTCACTGGTAGCCTTCAGCCTCGAGTTCCCTTACCCTTTGCTTCAACTCATTCTTCACAGCTTCAAACTCTTTACTTGCTATATCGAGTTCGGGAGGGACATACCTTAGATGTTCCTCCATGGTCCGGGTGTCATCATAGTCTGGCACTGGGATGTTGTCGTTTTTCTTCAATCTTCGTCACTCCAAATAGTCAAGAGTGAGCATGTCTTTGGCAGCCAAGACATCCATTCGAAACACTTTCTTCCATGACTCGGCTGTTTCTTTGAGTCTTTTCTTATAGTTGTCGCCATGATATGCAAATTCTGATCCAGCTAGTTTATACGTCAGTGGGACAAACTGAAGTGCCCTAAACTGTCGAAGTGCCAGAAGTAGAGAATACCCAACTCCTCCCTACAGTCCAAGCAGTGTCATGATGTCTGAATCCCCACAACGGAAGACAATGTCACTGTGGGTCAACCAAGGGGCTCTCCATGCAATATCCCAGTCCTGAAGATGTGTGAAGACTTTCATCCATTTTTCCTTTGAGGCGCATTCGTGCCATTTCAGAGTGATGAATTCACATAAGGGTGAATAAGTAGTACTGAACCGGCGGTAGGCAACCCCCTTAGTCTTCCAGAAATGAATGTGAATCCAAACTTGAAGAAGTTGAGCACACCCAATGAACCTTCCTCCGCCAGTTTTCTGCAGTAGGTGAGAGAGCGAAAGGTCTCTGCTAAGATTGTTGGCGCTGGATTTACTCACCTTGGGAGTTGTTCAAACAGTTCCACCACAGTCGCGTCGATGCACCCCAAAGTCTTTGGGAAGATAACCAAACCGTAAAGACCCAGTGCAAACAGTTCCACCCATTTTTAAGGGCTGACTTTTGATATGTTTGATATAGGCTCGCTCCAATTTGATGCTTTCGCAGTGTAGTAGTGTAGTATATTCCTCAATAGTGGGCACCATGTCCTCCCAGTTAAAGGTGAAGCAGCTGTACCCCGGGTGTCAGAATTGAATCAAGGCTCTAATTAAAGGCTCATCTACGTTGACATATAGCAGGAGTGCGATATCACCATATCGCTGGCTGAACTTTTGTTTTCGGTTACCCTTCCAACTGTCCCAAATACTTCGTAGTTCTTGGACATCATTATGTTTCAGGCTGACAGAGGCGTTGCTAACCAGTTCTAACACATAGCTTCCTTGAAGACTGTCTCCCTTTTCTTTCTGAGTCTTCTTGGACCATAGTCGTACCTCGACATTTTTTATCTATTGCATTACAACCCCTTTGTCCATTAGTTCATATTATTTGTGTGTAATAAACATTGTTTTAGGGATCAATAGCCTCTTTTATGATACAAAATGCTAAAAAAGACAATCACGAAAAAAAGTTAATAAAAATAAGAATAATAGTAATGAAAGTAAAAAGGTAAAAAGAAAAAGAAAAAAAGTAAACTGCATGGTTAGGGTAAAAACATCCTAGGGTTTGAAATGGGATTTCGGGGTAGGCTCTAATTCTTCATAGTCTCCCGGTTTAGGTTCTAAAAACAGTACCCGAGTTCTCCTTGTTGGTGCCCCCTTAGGCTTGTCAGACCCTTAGTCCTAAGCCCATAACAAGCTCGTGTGGACTAAGTTAAACTCGAGAGGAAACATTCCCTTATGCCCATACGGAGAATAAATTCACACGAAAGCATAAGGTATATGAATCCCGAAGGTTACTTGCTAGGCTCATAAGTAGAATAAATTCTCACGAGAGCGACGTTTTTACCACCACTTAAAAACGGGTTTGGAGCTCGGGTTTAGAGCCTTAGGTGGAAAAAACTTTAAGGAAATCACTGAAAAGAGACCGTCAGTACAACTATTTATTTGAAAAAACATAATCAAAAGTAAGTAATAAGGATCAAAAAATTACCTTAAAATTTAAACTTACCCTTTTCATTAAAAAGACAACTAGAAATTATCTTAGCCTGACTCACTTACCTGTCCCCAGCGGAGCTACCAAGCTATCAGAATCGTCTTTTGGGTGAGCCAGAAATTAGGCTTCGACTTGAATAAAATGGATTGGAGTCGCCACCGATCTTTTATTTTAAAACAAATGGGTAGATCGGATACCTCATTTCTTACCTGATTTGCGTCTTACCAAAGATGTGTCGGATTTGAGAGTCAGTTACAGTCAAGGAAGGGTTATCACTCTTGAACTGCCTTTTTGGTACTACGTAATTTCCAATTATCTTAAATTAAGAAAATTGTAACTTTAAATGAAAAGGTAAAATAACGATTCAAATTACTTACCTCTGAAAGTTTTAAAAATGCATCCTTAAGAAGGTCAAGAAACGTGTTAGATAGGAAAAAATGAAAATAAATAAAACAAAGAAAGTAAAAAAATATAAATGAAATAAAGAAAATAAAAAAGATACAAAAAATAAAAAAATAAAGTAAAGATAAAAAAATGAATAAAATAAATAAAATAAATAATAATAATAATATATATAAATAAATAAATAAATAAAAATAAGAAGAAAATAAAAATAAAAAAATACATAAAAAAATATAAAGGAGATAAAAAATTAAGATGAAGATACAGAATAAAAATAAAAATAAAAAGAAAAGAAAAATAAATAAATAAATAAAATAAAAAGTAAAAATGTGTAAAAATAAGTAGAATATAATAATAATAATAATAATATTATTATTATTATTAATAATAAAAGAGTAATGAAAAGAAAGAGAAAGTAAAAATAAAAGAGTATAAGAATAATAAAAAATAATAAGTAAATAATACATACATATATATATATATATATATATATATAACCAAATAGATAATAAATAAATAAATAATAACAAAAGGATTAAATTGAAAATAAAATAAGAAGCCAAATTTGAAAGGAAACCGAAGTTAAAATCAGATTTAAGGGCTAAATTAAAGCTCTGAAAAATGGGGGACCAAAATTATAATTCCCCCTTTCATCTCAAAAACACGCTAGTCTTGTATGGGTATGGGTCGGGTCGGCGAGCATCCATGGGTTGGGTATAAAGCCCAACCCTCTAAACATCATTTCATAATTCCCATTCCCTCACTCAAGATCAAACACGCCAATACCCAAATCCTCTACCCATGTTCATCGTATTCTTTATGCACGATGAACAACCACCGCGATGCCCTGATCCGGCGGTCCGCCGCCTCACCGGCCGTCGTTCATTGGCGTCAGAACCCCAAAAAAATTACTTTTTTAAAAGCTCTCCTCATCTACTTTCAAAATCCAAACTTGGTTTTTTAAAAACATGCCTCTGGAGGGCTAGATCTAAAAAATAGATCTCGAAGAGCCCTCCCTGATCATCGGCGTTTTGGGTATTTTCAAGTCGAAAGTGACATGCAAGCAAGAAAAACAACACAAGGTAAAAATCTCACCTTTTTATTTCCTTCGAAAATGGTACAAAACGCTTCGAACTCACTATCTCTTTACTCGTATTTTTCTAGTATTTTCGTGTATATTGTGTGTGCTTTGAATGTGTGTTACATGAGTATTTATAAGTTAATTTCCTATTTTTGGATTGTTTCAAGCGTTTGATTCCGAGTAAAACTTGGTTTGTTGGAGTCATATTAACACGCGTCCATTGTGTTTGTTGAGCGAAATGTCCGGCGTGCATGAGGCGTGGAGCGTATTCGGCGGGGGGCTATTGTGAAGAGGGAGGCGCAACGCATGGAGAGAAACGACAGGAAGCAAAGTGGGTTAGGGTTTCAAAACCCTAACCCATTCGAATTCGGGCCAATTCGAATCGCAGGTCCCAATTTGGTTCAGACTGCTCCATTGGATCCTGCTGGGTCGCATGTTGGCTACTATTGGGCCACTTGGGCTGCTAGGTGTTGTTTGTGTAATGGGCCCTGTAAAAACAAAATACATGTAAATATTGAAGCTCCATCTACAAATGGATAAGACTTTGGTTTTAGGGTATACGAGTTTTTGAAAATAAAGGAGCAATAACCAATTTCCCTTTCTATCAAGAGTGTTGGTGTTGCCCCTTTATTTAGTATTTAGAATTTAGATTTAGTAGTCTTTCTTTTCTTTACATAAGTTTGTTTTTATTATATAATATAGTTCGTAATTATATAATATAATAATATTAATCGGTCAAGAAACTGGAAACTTGTCGAACACGCAAAGTTGGTTATTACCTGACTGCAATTACCGTTGAAGAATATCTTTAAAGACAATCCGCAAACCGGAAGTATAGGCAAAATCCAATGAAAATATTTATAACTCTATCACCAAAAGTGATCCACTCCGATTCCTTCTCACAAACAAAAAATATATGTTCCCATTGAATTACATGTTAGTTTCCTTGTTTATACTGAGAAAACTGGATATGGTCACAGCTAAAAACATATAAGCTTGCGTCGCTTTTTTCTCTTTCTCAACCATTATAGCTTAGATTGATGTTGCATAACTTTGGCAGCTGAATATACAATCTTGACATCACCTGCAGGATGGAATGGCCATTTACTTCCACACTCAAATAAATATCCAAGTCACAGATTAATGCTTAAAAAATACCCAAAGCAGTAATGACGTAAAATCAAGGATACCTGTAATTGTTTCCAAACTAAATTGAGAAGGTACATTGCTGTCCACCTCAACCGAAGCTTTTGCTGCAGCAATACCAATTGCTACACTCTGCATCACATCTAAAACTGAAGAAAGGGATGCAAGCATTTCACCAACTAGGCTTGATGTCATAGTTTCAAATAACTGTTGACTAAATCCATGTAGATGTGATTTTTCCAAATCAATTCTCCAGGAGTTTGGTTCCCCTTTAGTGCATAAAATTACACCATCTGAACCAATAGTCAAAACAAGAACTTTGACACCTTTCTGAAACAAAAACCAGATTGCTGGTTTTAGCATCTGGAACGAAGTATCCGTAGAACATTTATTATTTTCAATTGGGCGAAATAAGTTTTCAGAAGATAAAGCATTTGCCATTGCAATTAGTTCATCTTCATTAGGTGAAGCAAAAGTTATCTGCAAAAAAAAAAAAAATTCTTGATTAGTGACCAATAAATTGTAAGAGAGTGATAACTGGAAGGAAAGCACCCAACTGTATCTTACACAACGTATCAACGATTAATACAAAACCACACAAAATGAGTGCACTTACATACTTCACAATCGGAGCAATTCTTTTAGATTTTGCAACTGATACAGGTTCAAACCACACTGGGATATTTGACTCTGCTGCTACAGCAGAAAAAAGCCAAACAAAATAGTGATAAACAGAAGCTGCAATAGTTAACAGAAACCGAAAGACTAACCCAGAGGAGGAGAAAATCTAAAGTGGTGTTTTAAAAGTACATCGGCAAGAAGCTTCTAAAGCAGGAGGACTCAAATTCGCACCAACCATCAATATAGGAGCAGAACCTTTAAATTTTCTGTGTAGTTTTTAAAACATACAAGTTGCTGCTATTAGTCATGTACAAAACAAACAACTTCAATCTCTACTTACAACAGCTTCCACACTGGCAACACCAGCTGCCACCTTGCCAGTAGCATCAAGTATATGACAGATGGTGGGAGTCTTAATATCCTGATGCCTCCTAATGCCTGCTTGAAAACCAAAATCAATGAAGAATATGCAGCAGAATTTTTAACATGTCTCAAACAAAAAAATTTCAAATCGTAGAATGCCATAGAAAGCCAATTAAAGTGGCTTGTCACATCAGACTGATTCTTTAGAAAAACAAGAAGTTCCATCGAGCATATTGTATTATTTATTAGAGTAGCAGGATTAAGATGATCATGCAATTGATGCAGATCAACATAGCATCATAAATCAATAACTAATGACTTTCAATAGGAAAGCTGACCTTCTGTAGGTAGCTTTGCAGATTTCCAATATTCCATCAACAAAGTTCCTAGTAAAAAAGAAGAGGAGCAACTAATCTCAAGTAATGGTGGGGGGAATAGGCCAAATCTGGTGGTCAAAACACATATTTTGAAGTAAACAATAGTGGGATAGATAAGTATATATATGTGTGTGTCTCAGTGATCAAAACTAAATGTCTCTTAATGTTCCTGCACCTAGATTCCATATAATTCAGACAAGTAAATGACATTCAGGACTACCAGAGAAGCATTTGCCTTAGGGAATCAAAAGGCTGCATTAGAGAAAATTCTAAAGCAAATGACCTGCCATGTCAAATCCCGAAACACTAATGGAAAAAGGGTCAGCTCCAAGCTTCCCCATGCATTCAGCTATGTTCCTTGCCACACCTCCTTGTACATACTGTACCTATATAAATTATTCATTAATTTAATAACTCAACAAGGAGAAAATGAGGGGAGGGAGATGGTAAAGAGACATGGCCAGGTTGGATGTGGAGGAATTGAAGAAGTGGCTTGAATGTCCAAAACCATCCCCCCCATGACTACTGGGACTGCTCTCCATCTTTCCCTTGCTTCATTCCCCCTCCCCCTAACTTTCCAGCAACGTTGATCACTGATCAGAATTCCCGTTGACGTCTAAAATACTTTTGAGGGATCCAGAAAAGGAGGAGAAATCGTTGACCTAAACTCAACAGTGAAAGAAATAACACTTTCTTTTGATCTCAATTTTCAGAATTTTGCCATTGAATCTCTAAAGCGTGAAAGAATCTAAAGAAAAATGACATGAATTCAAACTTTTTAAACAAGATGGGGCCTCTTTAGTTTATACACAAACAAGCAATGAGACGAATAAAAAAGAATCTAAAACGCGCACAGAAGAGCAGTAACGAAACTCGGCAAAAGAGCAGCAAACTAGGGAAAATGAAAAGCAAAATAACGATACTTGCTCGGTGCTTGAATCCAGCAGTGAAAGGAGGAAAGGAGTTCGGAATTAGTTGCCCTTTCGGTTGGAAGCCCGATTAGATTTTGGGCCATAGTAAATTCCATTATGAATGAGTTTTCAACTTTCCAAATTTTTTTAACCAAAATAAACATTTATAACTTTTGCATGTTTCTATTTTGATCGTATAATTTTTGAATTTTTTTAGTTCATCACTATATAAATCCTTTAGCATCGTTTTAATTTTATGCAAAATTTACTGAAACTTTTGCTGTAAGAAAATAATTGAAACGTTCCTTTCCCGAAATTTCAAATTAATCTTTTTAGATTCTCTTTGATTTATTAATGCTGAAGTGTTTTATTTTTTAAATTCTAATAATAGAGAGGTGGAGAAGAGAAAGAAGAATAATATATCTCAATTATATTATGATCAAACGATGAAGATTTACATATCAAAATCATTTTCTCGCGAAAATTTTCATAAGTAGTTTTAGGAAATTTAAACGGAAAAGCTATAAACAATGATGAGATGATATACTAAAGTTGGTAGAGAAAATGACATAGGAAACATAACTTTAAAGTTTCTATTTTGTGAGGGAATATGATGAAATTACATTTAAAAATATCCATGCCAAGCCGTTTTCGACTTAACAATCAATTGGCCTTAAAAATAAAATTTGAAAGTTATTAAGTTTAGTGTCCGAATTGATTTTTTTGTGCTTTATTTAAAATTATTAAAGTTAATAATAATAATATACAAAGAGTTTAATTTAGTAAAATATTGATAAAAGTTTTTAGTTAAAATTATTTTATTTTTTAATATTTAGTATATTAATTATTTTATAGCTTTATGATGTGAAAATATTATTATTATAAAAAATATAATTATTTAAAAGAATTATTGGGTTATTAAAAATAGATCCTATACATTAAAAATAATATATTTATTCACATGAGATCACAATATTATTTTTCATATTATATTATATTTTATATAAATAAATACGATACTTGTGAAAATTATTTAAAATTATAAGTTTGATATTCTAATTATATTAATTATATGTTAAATGTATTTTTTTTCTTTAAACTTTGTGTAACAATTAAAATATTTTTATAAATTTTCATTCAAATATTTATACTTTAATATTAAATTTTACTTGTTAAAATATATATATCACAAGAGTAATTTGGTAAAATATGCATCTAAATAATCTCATATTCCTCCAACCAAACATTATATTCTTACATTCCTGCTAAGCAAATCAAACAGGGTAATACAATATACCAGAGTAATGTTAAGTTCTGTAATCTTATTCACAAAGATAATCTTACCTTATGTGAACCAAACACATTCTAAAGATTTTTTGCTATATCTTTTACTCTTGATATATAATTTTATCTCAACCTAAACAAAATAACTAAAAATATTATTTAATGATCGAACACATGATTAGTAGATCTATATACATATCCTTCGTCATTCATTGAATATTTTTCACTAACATCGTGAGTGCAATAAAATCTAATATTTGTTATTTTTAAATTCAATAAAATAATATTTTATTTAGGTTGAGATAAAATTACATGCTTACTTACTTTTAAGATAATTTTTTGTAAGATAAAATTATAAATCAAGATTAAAAGATATAGTAAACTTATCAGATAATAAAATACATTTGATTCAAAACTCTTGTCTGATCTGATTATAGTAAAGGAGAGCTGACCTGTCTTGTTTCTCTTTGCTCCTTAATCCTCTCGGAACCTACTTGTGAAACATTCACACGCTAAGTCTATGACTTAGTGAGGCGGAAAAACATATAATGTAAACTATACTTCTAACAATATATGCATGTTACATGCTATCATATCATACAACCTCATATTCACTTTCATAAAATCAATACATACTTACCCAAATATCATCATATCATAAATGAGTGTTTACTATTTCATTTTCTTATAATCATTTAATTGTAAATCACATAATTTATATCACATTCTTCTATCATCAATTAAGTCGTTTATTTACATAATTCTTAATCATATAATTATATTCACAATTTCACATATCTTATCTCTTATCTCCTTATGTTCCTATTTAACGTTTAACCCATAACTTCTCGTTACATATTCTATATCATATTCTTGTATACCAATGTCTTCTATTCTATTAATTCATTTTTTCATATAACTTTGTTACATAAACATATATTTGCATAAATTATTGTCATTTGATTCCCCTAACGTTCTAATACGATTTCTTAGATCCTTATACTAAATCACATATCACTTAACAATTTAACAAGGTTAAATCATAGTTTTATTTAAACATTTAAACCTTCCTACACAACTTATCTATTATACTCTTATACTTATTTATATACTTGTTTCCTAGTTAATATACTATTTACTTTATCTCTATTCTCATTAATCATATAATCCACCACCTCATTGCCTATATATATATACTTATAGAGTTCACTATATTTTTCATGTAATTTACTTATAACATATCATATAAGTTTATTATATTCTCTTATATTCAAATATATCAAATCAACATATTCCACATAGAAACTATAACATATGCAATAAATGAAACTCATACACTCATATCCAATTGCTCAATCACATATAACAATCATATTAAGTTTATTTATATTATCTCTTTATCGACCCATGTATACTTTGGAGAACTAAAGATATGTGAGTTCATTGAGGTTGTGCACTTATACTGTCACCACAACTCGAATAAATTCCCACTAGGGGAACTGAATATTTATCCCGAAGGACCACTCTTTAAGAACCATATACATAATACAATGAACCAAATAAGTGTACCGAAGTACCACATATATGTTCCACAGAATTACATATATGTCCCGAAGGACCACATAGAACCCTCGACTCTTGGCATGCCAGCTATACCTCTAGCTCTCAATTCCCATACATGGGCATTATCTTTTATGATAGTTCATTTCACTTGTTTCACATAACATTTTCATATGCACATGAAATCACTTAGCTTATTTTTCACACGACTCATGTCACATATTCACATCACATAGGCACATTTCCATTTAATTTACATTTCTCATATAATCACACAATTCCTTTCACGTAATCTCTTATGTTCATATCATATAACTTATATAATCACATGATTTATTACAGTAATATGTATTCACACATATCGTAAGCAATAACCAAATGCACACATATATTATGTAAAACATATGCTCATATTAATGAATTCATGCATTCTACTATAGGAAATAGACTTTTCACAAGTCTTATTTCCATTATACTTCATATACTATCTAGTATGCACTCACCTGTCCTCACTAGTCAATTCCAGCACTTATAACTCTTTGTCTTTCCCTCGATCGATCTTACTTGTCAATTGTTCCGGAACTCGTTTAGGCTCAGTATCTACATAAATATAATTTTCAAGACGATTATCAGAAGCCTAAACCTTATAATTTAATGCTAATAACTTAGGCTAATTTAATGAGCCAAAATTTATTTTTCCTCTTTAGGAGGGTATCGGTACACTATGGGTGTATCGGTACCCAAATTAACTTCGAAATTCATAGGTATCGGTACACTCCTTAATGTATCAATACACTATGAAGTTGTTCTTCAAAATTGGTCTTAGTGTATTGGTACATATTCATAGTGTACCGATACACCCTGCCCAGAACATATTTTTTTCACCCGAAAATTCCATAACTCTTTACTAACTTTCATAATATAAAGTAATTTTTATACTCCCAAACTCAACTATAAAAACTTTAACTAGCTTTTATCATTTCAACATCTTAATATCTCTAATATCTCATCCAATTTCTTAAAACCAAGAATCTTACTAAATTTTCCATGTAATCCAAACTCAGTTTTAACACTTATAACTTCTTATTCACACTTATGACAAGTCAAATTCAACTTCCAAATTCAATTAAACCTTCTTATTCAAAATTTCACTTAAAAACTCTATTTACTTAATCTCTCCTAACATATCCATCTTTGAGTTTTTACTTATCTTTAGACTTCCTTAAGCTTTCTTACTATCCAAAGAATCAAAACTCATCATAAAATTAAAGAATAATCAACTCATATGAAACTCACCTTGCAACTGAGCTCACGGGAAGAAGAAGAAGCAAGCTGAACCATATTCTAGACTTTTATTTCTTTTCCCCCTTTTCCACTTGTTATATCCTATATAAAGGAGGAATAAAAATATTTCTTATAAAATTACCATTATACCCTTCAAAATTTCCATAATTACCATTTAACCCAATAAGGAATTATTCATATTTAAGTCCTTGAACTTTTAACTTGTTTTGAAATTGAGCACCTAGTTCTCAAAATTTGTAATTTAGTCATTGACCCTGATTTGGGATGTTACAAATCTCCTCTCCTTTAAGAAAATTTGTCTCGAATTTTCATTGCACCTAATAGATTAAGATACTGTCTACACATATCCTATTCATATTCTCATATTACCTTCTCAATTTAGTATTTTCCTGTCACCGTGAGAGACTTGTCTTTCCTTCCTTTAGTTCTTTAACTACCTTTTTCTTTGATACCTCCCTCTACTGTCACTTATCATGTAGACAATAGCATCAATTCTTATTACTCAAACTCATAAATCAATCAAATTCCTTATTATTCTTCAATTGTCTTGCAATAATAACCAAACTTTTTGTTCCATTATCACTTGACTACCTCTAAAACTTCCTTAATACATATAAATCATTTTTCATTTCTCTGACTACGTCTATTTGATCAAGAAACATAACCTTTATCACAACTGATTTTTTAAACTTCATCATTTCATTTCCTTATTCCATTATTCATTCAAAAATAAAAATCTCCTTATATACATATCATATCTTTTATTTCATGTTCACATACTCTTTTCCTATTACTTATACTCATCTCTAATTACCGATCTTTATCACATCTTTATAACTCTGATAATCAACTTAACTTATACAAAATCTCATTCTTTACCATCTCTTGTACTTGTATTTTCCTGCCTCAAAGCTCCCTTTAAATCATATAAATACTCATCTCCT